TCTGGGGAAGGCTCTGTGTCAGAGGCAGAGAGGGGGTCAGAGCCGGATGCCAGTTATCAGCTGCCTTTGGAGTCAGACATCAGTGAGACAGAAGAATAGCTGGATCCTGTTCCCAGTGTGTGCATGCGCAGAGTTGCCAGATGAAGGGAACAGCTAAGGAACAGGGGTCGACTTGGGAGGAAGGCCACAGGTGGACGATGAATGGCTCTCCTAAAGGGAATAAAAGAGGAGCGAAAGGGGAGTGGAGCTTGCAGGAGACAATTAGTTCGCTTCATTGGTTCCTGACTCTCTGAGGCTCCTTGCCAAGTTCTTCAGATATCGGCCTGGCAGCTCTCCCAGCCAGATAAGGTCTGTGACTGAAAAACCTCCCTCGAAAGACTTTGCTGGATGTGAAGGAGCAGAATTCACAGTCAATTAAAGAAAGGGTTTTTTTGTCGGGACCAGGAGTTTGCTTCCTGCTCTTGGGACGCCTAAGTTAGAACGCATAGCTTTTCCTCCAACTGGGAAGGGGAGGGTTTTCCTGGTGCTCTAACCAATCAGACTCCCTGCCCTAATGGTCTGTTATGTGCTGGGCTCTGCTTCCAGGTCCGTGGTCTCCAAGAAAGGCTACCTTCACTTCAAGGAGCCACTCTCCCCTTCGTGGGCCAAACATTTTGTGGTGGTGCGCCGCCCATATGTCTTTATCTACAACAGCGACAAGGACCCAGTGGAGAGGGGTATCATCAACCTCTCCACGGCTCAGGTGGAGTACAGTGAGGATCAGCAAGCCATGGTGAAGGTCAGTGGCAGCTCCAGAAACTCAGAGCAGACTCTTAATCCTGGGAAATTACAAAGAGATCCCCTTATCCTGGGCGCAGAAAATATAAAGAGGAAACTAAAACTAATCAGAATAGAGCTGGAAGCGACCTTAGAGGTATTCTAGTCCAGCCCCCTGCTCAAGCAGGAGAGCCTGTAGCATTTCAGACAAGTGGCTGTCTAGTTTCTTCTTAAAAACCTCCACAATGTCTGGAGGCAACTTCTGCTCCACTGGTTGATTGTCCTCACTGTCAGGAAGTTTCTCCCTAATTGCAGGTTGCTTCTCTCCGTGATTAGTTTCCACCCATTTTGCTTCTTGTCCTGCCTTTGGGTAGTTTGGAGAATGATTTGACCCCCTTCTTTGTGGCAGCCCCTGAGATATTGGAAGACTGCTATCATATCTCCCCTGCTCCTTTTTTTCTCTAGACTGGCCATACCCAATTCTTCCTGCAACCGTTCTTCCTAGGTTTTAGTCTCCAAGCTCTTAATCGTCTGAATTGCTTTTCCCTGTACTTTTTCCAAAGTCTCAACACTTTTTTTTGTAACGTGGTGACTAAAACTGGATGCAGTATTCCAGGGGTGGCCTTACTAAGGCTTTATAAAAACGGGTACTAATTTTCCACGTGATTTTGATTCTGTGCCTCTGTTTATGCAACCAAGGATTGTATTAGCTGTTCTGGCTGCTGCCGCACACGACTGGCTCATATTTAAGGGATCCCCTACTTGGTCCCAAATCCCACTACGGTTGTAAGATGTCCTTCGAACTCTGTTTAGATCAAGAAGGATTCCCCTTGGGGAGGAAGAGGCCACGAGTTATCTGAAAACCTGGCCAAGAATTTTCAAACTTTCATGATTCTGTAAAGCCAATATTGGCTAACCAACAATTGTGGAGGCTTGAAAATCATGGAAGGAAAAAAAAAAGAATGCTTAAAATGCCAGCATGTTTAATTTTTTAGAGGAGGGAGGCGGGCCTGGTGTCGCGACAGTACAACATGCGATCTTGAAGCTCCAAGATCGCCATCAATGTCTCTGCCTCTGGATGGTCCTTTTGAACCTAAACCGTCCTGTAGAGACTGTGATAGAGAAGGGCACATCTTGTTGATCCCAGGGACACTGCAAAGTCCCTGGTGGATCCAGGAGAAGTCCTTTTTCCGGCGGCGGAGAGTCAGCCATTAAAGCTGCTGAAGTTGGGACAGCTCCGGAACGGAAGAAAAGCTGGAGAGAAAGTGTGTCGATTTGGTGAGATGAAAAGTAAAGTTAAAATTGAAGACAGAAGAGGTCAAGCGGTGAGATTAAGCCCGAGTCAAACTTAGTGTGTTATTTTTTTAAAATTCTTTTATTGCTGGAATTTTTATAAATACTTTTTAATTTTTAAACAGGACTGGCTTTTTTTTCTCTTTTACTTTTCTGCTAATACTTACAGAATATATTTTTTTTGTTTAAGACTTTCTTTCCTTTTCTTAACACCCTATTGTATCTTCATCTTTTTTTTTTTTGCATTTTAGACACCAAACACCTTTGCCGTCTGCACCAGACACCGTGGCGTCCTCCTTCAAGCCCTCAACGACAAAGACATGAGTGACTGGCTGTACGCCTTCAACCCCCTTCTTGCCGGCACGATACGGTAAGAGGGACACACCGGGGCTGCTGGATCTTTTTTTGTTTTGTTTTTATTCATAAATATTTTTGAATACCGTGCATTGTCAGGGCACATCATTTACAAGAGAAAAATAAAGAAACAACGGAGAGAAATATTAACACATATACTGGTAACAATACTAGCCATGTAATAGAGTAGTTTTAGCAAAATTTCTTTATATGGACTTATTTGTACTTTTGTTGATTATATTAGCATATTTATATTTATAAACTATCTTTATATTTAATTCATACATAGCAGTCATCTTTATTCCTCTAATTTCTACCTCTTGTCTCCAACCACTCATAAAATCTATTCCATGACAAGTAATATTCTGTGTCATCTTTATCTTTTATTTTTAAAGTCAGTCTGTCCATCTCGGCACAATCTAACATTTTTACAAATTGCATCCTCATCTGATGAGGTGTTCTCGTTTTTCCAATATTTTGTAAATGCAATCTTTGCTGCTGTCAGTACATTCAAAACTAGATATGTAGTCCCTTGGTCATAACCCTCCTGGGGCCACTTGGCCTGCAGACGCTAGCAGAGTGAGAGCACCAATGGTGGTATTCAGCAGGTTCTGACCAGTTCTGGAGAACCGATAGCGGAAATTTTGAGTAGTTCTCAAAATTTTGAGTAGTAATATAAATCCAATAAACAAACAAACGAACAGTTCAGAGAACCGGTAAATACCAGCATTGACTGACCACAACCCCAACTATTCTCTGCCTCCCGGGTCCCAGCTAATTGGGAGGAAATGGGGATTTTGCAGTATCCTTCCCCTGGAGTGGGGAAGGATTGGGGATTTTGCAGCATCCTTCACCTGAAGTGGGGAGGGAATGGGGATTTTACAGTATCCTTCCTCTGCCACGCCCACCAAGCCACGCCCACAGAACCAGTAGTGAAAATTTTTGAATCCCACTACTGGAGCGCACAGACCATCCTCATAAACCTGGTTAAAACCCTGAAATGGGAATAGCATGCATCAATCGCCTCTTAAGGGAAAGAGGCTGTGGAGGCACAGAGAGGGGCTGGTGGAAATTTCAGGTCTGCAAGGAAAATAGGTGGGTGTGTTTCCTTCCAGAGGAAGTGTTGCAAAACGGATGAGAAGCGAGGGAATCGGTTACACAGAAAAAAAGAGATGTTGATCCACAAAGAGGAAGTTAAAAAGCCTTTCTCAGCGCTAGCAGATGATGGGAGAACAGATGAGTCTGGGAGCCTCTTTTAAACAAGGAAGTCTTACTGAAAGGCAGAAGCGTAGAAGTCACTGGAGGGTTCAGAGCATTTCAGACTTCACCAGGCCTGTCAGCCCAGCCACACACATTTAAAACCGTGCCGCTCAGTGGCAATGTGGCAATGGGGAACCAAAAGATATCTCAATGTTGTGGCCTGCCAGCATAGCTGTCAACAGATTCGGACAGTGAAGAGGTTGGGGAGGAACATGGGCCAGTCCTGGAGTCTTGGGAAGGCTCTGATGAGGGCTCTTTGTCGGATGCAGAGAGG